ACACACAGACACACACAGACAGACACAGACACAGACCCACACACACACACACACACACACACACACACACACACACACACACACACACACACATTACCAGCCATGTGCAGTTTAAAACACCCTAAAGAGAAATGTTCTTACTTCCTTAAACTCTTGGATCTGTGTCTGTTCAAAGTGGGAGAAAACATTAGAGGAAGCTCTTTGAGCGCGTTTGGCACCACCTTCCTTCTTTTTGGTTTTTCGGCTGGCCTGAAATGAAGAGAATCATGAATTCAGTCAGATCGTACTTTGTTCTGATCACACAGTTAGAAGAAGATAGGACAGTTGATAACAATTCTCAGGTTATTTTCCTAAATAACAAAATGCAGCCATGATGCTATCATATTTTATGCATACCATCCTGTACAAAAGCAACAGCCAGGGCTGTCTTAACAGCATTATGGGCCCCGGGCCAAGCAGTGTACTGGGGCCTCTACGACATCTACTCACAGGAATAAAAATGTAAATGGTTGATAAAATTAAACATATCTTTATTTTATTGGAACTTCCAATAAAATGTTGGTGTTGAAACATTAAAAACATGCTGTGCAGCAACAACTAATCAACATGATAAACATTTGAACAATATATGAGGCTTGAAAAACACAATAATACTCAGTAAGCCATAAGGTTGCTGTATTTATATAATACAAGGTGCATTGAGGGGGGAAAATACATAGATTAGTATGGAGCCCCTATGCTCGTGGGGCCTACAGGCAAGTGCCCATCAGGCCCATGCGCTAAGACAGCCCTGGCAAGAGGAATATACAGATTGTAGTTTGGAGTTATACTTGAAAAAAGCCAGTTTATCTTTTTAAGAAAAAAATTATATTTATCCTCTAAATATTTACCCTTTAAGAAGTTACTCAATAAAGTTTGTGTTATGAGAATCATAGAGACATCATTTTTTTATACAGGTTAAACTCACCATCTTTCCTGGAGAGATCCTCTGTTTCTCTGGGAAGCTGTCTGTATCAAACACTTCTTATATGTAGAGGAGGATCTTGTCTTTCCAGATGGCATTCCCAAAGAAGATCTCGACACTGTAAAAACCTTCAGCTCACAAGATGACTCCATACTTGGTCAGAGCGGCAAGATACCTTCTATTCCCTGGTGAACAAACAACAGTTAGTTGAAGTTGTCCAGTAAGACATTCCTTCAATTGCTATGAGATGCAATATCTATGGTGGTGAATTCAACTGTCACTCATGCTATTTTTATGTACCTTTTGAACTCATATATTCTAACATAGTAAGAACAGTTTCTCACTGGGTAGCAATTAAGCAAGAATTAACTTTTTAAGGAAGACTTCTAAATTCCATCCTTGTATATTCTGGGAAATGCATTTGGAAGATGCTACATTGCAAGGGTGGGTTCCTGTACTGGTTGGTACAGGTTTGCTTTGCACGTGCACGCACCGTGCATTGCTAACAGCTAACTGGACTAAAAAAGTTGTTCTGCGCATGTGCAGAAACATGCCAACAATGGCAGAAGAGACTAGGGAACCAGTTCGGGGTGTGGCCAGCCTGGGTCGTTGCCTATTCTATGACCCGGACCAAATCACCATTACCGGTTCAGCTGAATTGTGCCGAACTGGGAGCAACCCACCTCTGCTACATTGAGAAGGAGCAATTTCTTGATATAATTTGTCATGATTTCTTAAAATTAAACAAGATTTGATTTTGTAGTTTCCTCCATATCTTTTATCATCATCATTATTATAATAATAAACCAGAAATACAAAGAATTCTGGAGAAATCATCATGACCTTGAATCGGGAAGAGTAGACCTTGATTTGGGTGGTTTTGACTTAGTTAAAACAGGTTAACATATTCAATCCTAGTCGTTCCTATTTATAGAAAGCTAGATATCCCTTGAATATCTGCGTACATACAACATGGTGAATCATAAATCATAATTATACAATCACAATTGGCAGCATGCATAAGCAAACTGCATTTGGGTTTAGCGTGTTTTGGATACCAAATTTATATTTTTAAATTTAAACAATTCACTTAATTTATTTAATGAACCACTTTATGAATTATTGCAAAATGAAACATGACTTCACTAAATCAAATATTTAAAACGATGGGTCTTGTTTATGGGCTCAAAATATTCTTGTGGAATGGTTTCTTGCAGTTCAGATAATTTGCCCACAGCTGCTTGTACTAATAATATCCACTGATTATATTGTATTGTGATATTCTCCCTGGGACTTCGGCAGGCTGTGTATGTATCTTTACTCTCTGCTCTCTTCTTTAGAATCCAGTTTAATGAACTTTTAAAGAAACTGTGTCTTGAAGTAGCTGAAAACATTTTCCACTGGGTATCTTTCAAAACATACATTGTTCTTTTTAAATAAATCAATAATAACAAGCTTTTCAAACTGTTTGATGATTTGCTCATGGTATATAATTTCTGTTTCATCGAACAATGTATGTAAAAACCCATTTATTTTGATATAAAATGATTAAATTCATAAATACTGTAGAATTCCCGAGCCAGTCAGTAAAAATTATTCTTATCGGCTTACATAGACGGTTGTGTATTTAGTCTGCATATAGGGGAAAGCATTTTTGGTATTGGAAAAGAATTGGTAGAATAATCCTTAGAGTATAAGACTTGTACAAAATACCACCATATAAAAATGTTGATGTTATTTAGAAAGGTAAACGTTTCCTTTTATTCAATTTTAAATATACTTTGAAATCTTAAAAATAAAAATAGCCGCAAAACTTCCCATGGGAATTTGTCGGAGCCTTATTGTTAACGTCGTAGCTCTATAAAAAAATGCATTCGAGCGTGATCTTCAATTTTCTATCTCTACCTCTCTCTGTGTCTCTTTTTGTAACGTCGACGTTCTTGCGTCACGGCGCGCCTGCGTTCTAAACGGCTTTGTGCGTCACATCCGTTTTCCTTTGGCCGGGAGGAGAAGATGATTGCCCCGGTGGAGGTTTCTCCGCTCATCAAGGTGAGCTGAGGTCCCGCGCGTGCCGCTTCGGGCTTCCGTTGGGGCGCCAGTTTTCACGCGCTCCGTCTCGTGGTGGGCGAACGACGGAGTCCCGTCGGCGCCCCCTTTTAGTCGGAAGGTGACCGTAGAGGTCACGGGGAAGGGCTGGTTGGGGAACGGCGGGCCGTCTCCTGCCCTTTCGGTCTTGCAGATCCTGAGTCTTCCACGTAGCTCGTCTTTCCATGGGTTTTCCTGTGAATTTCTTTCTCGCCCTCACTCAAACGAGGTCTTGTTCTCTTTTATTTGCAAAACGTGATAAGATATATCTGTATGCATTTTGTATGCATAGATATGCACATATATGTGCATGCATGTGTATATTGCATGTGTATATGTACGTGTGTGTATATATGTATACGTATATCTGTATTATGTATGTGCATATATACACATACACACGTGTGTGCATATATACATAAACACACACACACACGTGTGTATGTGTATATATGCACATACATACATACAGATATACGTATACATATATACACACAATGTTTCGGCGAGGTCTCACTCCCCATCTCCTGAAGATGGCAAGTGAGACCTCGCTGAAACGTTGCCAAGACAATCTCAATCTTACACGGGAAAAGACCCGAATACAACAAGACCAGCATACACACATCTGTGAAAATCTACAAACACACACACACATTATACACATACATGTATGTGTCTGTGCATATATATACACACACATAGCCATACCCATACATGCATATAAATATACATACACACACACACACACACACATACATACATACATACATACATACATACATACATACATACATACATATAGCAATAGCACTTAGATTACAGTGCTTTATAGCCTATATATATATATCAATCTCAGACCATTTAGCATACATAAAGCATTTATAACTGGTGTCTTAGTCAGACTCTCCCGAGTGCTTAACAAGAAATTCTTAACAAGATCTAGACATATCCAAAGAATTAAAAAGATTTTCACCTACAAGCTTTATCAGAAAAGTTCTGATGAAATGTAATAATGACAAATAAATACACCCATCAGGAAGAGTCTTGAATTGAAAACTGTTTAAAAGCCATCTTGGCTTTGCCAAAGGATATATATGTATTAGTCCTGTGAGGTAATCTAGACAAAAAGAATTACCAGTACTAGCTATGTCTTGTAAGGTTATATTGACAGATTCTTGCAAGTCTGGAAGTATTTCTCCCCTGCTTTATTTTTACTCTCCAGAAAATGTAAGGAGGTGCTTTTTGCAATGCTTTCCTGGTCCTTTCTGCTTCTGTGGAGCTGAAATATTGTTTACATCAGGGATGTTAACTCGCAGGTCGGATGGGTCACGTGCTGGCTCCACCACTGTCCGGTTTAGCGAAGGAGAAAAAAGTCCCGATACGTCACGTGGCACCGCGAGTTTGACACCCCTGGTTTATATGATGGTTGTGCATCTGCAACTTCCTTTTGTCTCCCATAGACATTCCAACTTACAAAATAAAAATACCTGGGAATCCTTTTGAAAATATGATCAAAGTATTCAAATAAGTCATTATTGTTTTTGCATTCTCATTCTGGTTACTGCTTTTATGCTGCTAAAAACAAGTGTAATATACAAAATTGTATAGATAGTCCTTGACTTTATATCACAGTTGGATGAGAATTTCAGTTGGTAAGCAAGACATTGTTAAATGAGTCACAAGTTAAGTCAAACCTGAGCATTTTACAGCCCCCAGGCCACGTCCAGCTGTTTGCTTGTCCCTGTACAAGCCCCATGAGGTCATTCGGAAGTTAAAAATCAAATGTAAATAAGTGTACATTATGCATTCAATACAACTGCATTACTTTTATTTTGAAGGTGATTGCTTTTTTTCCTATTTATGTATGGCGTACATGCATGCCTATGCTCTTTCATAGCCCAGTTGGTTTGGCCTTCCATAACAGTCCCAGTTTCTTCTGTGGGTACTTGGGAAAATTAATTGCCCACCCCTGATTTAAGTGAATCACTGCCATTGTTAAACAGATCTGGCTTCCTCCATTGACTTTGCTTGTCGGAAGCCAGCTGTGATCCAGCTAGCAAATAGTGATCATATAACTGACTCCAGGATACTGAAGCCATGATAAATACATGCTGCTTGTGAAGCATTGGAATTTTAATCATGTGACCATGGGGAAGACATTTTTCCCCAGTGCTGTTGTAAATTTGAATGGTTGCTAAATAAATGGTATGTGTATACCACTTCATAATAATAGTGGGTATACAGAATGGTATTACTGTGGAAATATATATAACACATTGGAATGTCTGAATTCAGTCTTTTTATGAATATTCTTTATGGTTTACATTTCTGTAATTTAAAGTTCTGCAGATACTCAGCACTGCTGTTGGGAATCATTTATGGAGCAAGAAGATATGGTAAGTGGTTAATAAAAATAACCTTTTTATTTATGTTTGGATTGTGAATAGCTGAAGTTAGCTTTTAAAAACTACATCAATTAAACTGTACTGTAATATTTTTGTAATAGATGCATTTACATCCAGCTGTTCCATCTGGCTTAAGTTATTCACAAGCATCTTCTAGATCACTTCATGTGAAAAAAAATAAGTGCACAAGATTGCTTGTTGTATATTGATACCAATTTATTAATATCACGTTGCTCCTGATTGGAGTCTATATTTATATTTCCAAAATTAAGATTTGATGCATATATTGGTGCATGAATATTATGAGCATATTCAATTTTATAAATAATTTTATAAAAAAATCACTATTGGTAAAATGGACGGCATATAAATTTAATAAATCAATTTAAAACATTTTTTAAAATCTTGTTAAAAATCCATTCTGAGTTCAGGGCTTATTAATAAAAAAATAGTATACTCTCTATACTTACCCTTTTCTATATTTTGTGAAATTGCATTTAATTATTTATTAATTAATTAATTTAGCAATGCTAAAAGTGGAGAACAAATTGATCCACTGTGAAGCTAAAATTATTCCAGAGGCCTATGATAAATATTTTGTATTTTGAAACTCCACATGCTTTTAATGAATTGAAAGCAAAGAAATGTAAAGGAATACATTATAATGCATTTATGTTTCCTCTGAGTACATATTGTTTTACTTTACAATAGCCTATTTAAAGCCTATTGCTGCAGAGGATAGGAGAATAGAAGCAGAGGAAAAAGCGAAACAGGAGGAATTGAAAAGAATTGCAAAAGCATTGGAAGACGGTATTTTCTGTACATTTGTTTCATTTTGACAATAGTCACTAAATGAATGTTATAAGTGGACTACATCTATGTCAACAGAAGGTTGATGTTTTTGATTTCAGTAAACTTCCCTCTCTCCCATATAACATACATAGATACATACATCCAAGCATAGAGAGAGACTCAATTTGGTCTAATGTTTAAGGCACCAGGCTAGAGACTGAATTCTAATTCTGCCTTAGCCATGAAAACCCTGTCTCACCTCAACCCACCTCACATATTTGTTGTTGTGAGGAAAATTGGAGAAAGGTATGTCAGATATCTTCACCCTTGAGTTGTTTGTAAATTTGTTATTGTTATTTGTAAAGGCAGGATATAAATAAATTATATGCATTTTTAATATGGTAAGATAGAAAGTGAAAAAAGGAAGGAATTTAATAAACATAATTCTGCCTTCTGCCTTTCTATTGAGTTATGATTATAATCTTTTATCCATTTTCTTTGTCTCTTTTTAATCTTTTTTCTTTCAATAGAAAGTCCACAAAAGATTTCTGGTCTTTCAAAAACATCTTTCAACAATTTTTTTCTGGCTAAAGTAGCCAGCTTTAACATTTCTGCAAATCCAGTTAACTTTCTAATCCAATCTTCCCCTGGAAGTGTTTTATTGCTTTTCCAAGTTTGTGCATACAATACTCTTGCTGCACATCTTGGGAGCTGGGGGAAGTGATGAAAAATACATCATGATGCAAATATCATAGATTATATACTTGCATCAAATTTCCCCATGTGTATCATTTTTCTTTTATTATGGTTGGCTGTGGAGGCCTGTCATCTCAGGCACCAATGGAAAGAACCAGTCGTTGATTTCAATTAATGTGCTTCAAGGGTGGCTACATCTGATTGTAGATGATTCTAAATATTTATTTTAATTTGGGGAAAAAATCTAGTATAAAGCTAATATATAATAATTCTTCCATATTTGGAAGAGAATATTATTGTGTCTTTGATCATCTAGTAGCTAAAGTATTATCAGTTAAGGAAATTGGCAAAAAAACCTGACAAGAATATACTTCATAAAGCTTCCTTCAAAAATTTGTTTAAAATCTGTGTGCATTTAGGATGTAGCTTGCTACTGTTTTTGCTAATTGCCTTTTTTTTCCTTTTTTTAGCTCAAGAATCAATACTGAAATAAACCTCCTTGGTCCACATCTTTATATCCAATCTTTGAAATGCTGAAGTAGATAATTCTAAATGTCTAAAATACATTTATTTACATCAGTAAACAGACATTCACAACAATGTTGATTTTCTTAATGTGAATAGTGCTAATTAAAAAAGGAATGACAAAATGAAATAGTGTGCTGATCTGAGTTTATTCTCTAAGTCCTTGTGTTGATTCTGTTTGTGTATTGACTGATACACAAAAACGTGTACTAGTGATGATGTTAACACTGATAATGATTGAGTAGCTACTAGTCTTCTACAGTATATATTGAAAGCTATATGTATTATAAGTAGTGAAAGGAAAAATGTTGGATAAAACTACTGAGGTCCATTGTAAAGCAAACTGATGTGATTAAGAATAGAAACACCTGATCTGATCCAAAGAATATTCCAATTTCTGCTTTTTATAGCATTCTGTTGTATAAAAATTACAAGCTTTTGATGACCAATTCAGACCACCAATTCATTCTCAATATTGGATGTAGATTTTTTTTTAGCTTTCAGCATGTAGTTTTCATTTTCCTCAGAAAACTTACCTACCAGTAACACCTTGCACACTAATAAGTCATCCATTTTCAGTTTTCCTTATACATGGCATATGCTGAGAAAAAACACTCTATTTGAAAGATTTAAGGCAGGTAGATGAATAAATGGAAGGTTTTTAAATGTTTTATTTTTAAAAATAACTTTGGTCAAATTAAATTTGTACACATGCTTGTGCGATTTAACTAGAATTATATAGTCCTTTACCAGAAATTTGTCTAGCCTTGCTATCCTATTTGTAATAAGATGCTATCCATTCAATGATGCCTGATTTTTCATAATTTTGTGGACCAGCTCTACACATTTTCTGATCTCGTATGGCCTTTTTTATTTGCTTTATGCTCTGGCAGGGGGTGACTTTGATAGTATCCACTCACCCTGTTTTTGGGCAGCATTATTTCCTCTTACAGCTATTGGAGAATAGCTATTCCAAGAATAGCTTCCTTTTCCAATGAGTTTGATCGGATGACATGACTGAAATAAGTACTGTAAGTTAAGAGTTTTATGATTTTGCACAGCAGTGCTATGACCGGTGCTGTATACTCCAGTACTTGTTTGTCACATTTGCTGACTGAGGAATGTTCAGGAACCTTTAAGACCACAGCTTGAGCAAGTCTAGTTTTTTCATGGTTCAGCCATAGGAAAACATGATAACGCGGAATAATTTGTATTTAGCTACCAGGCTGATGTCCTTGCTCTTTCATATTTATTTCCATACTCCTTTGTGATGGAAAGCAATTTGCTTATATACAGTTTCAGTTCTATTTCATTCAATAGTACTAAATTATAATTCTGGATGGCTCAGTCCCCAACTCTTCATGTGTTTTTACAGAATTTATTTTATTTCACTGGAGTTGGGTAGCCAATAAATATAAATTTTTTAAAAAAAGTCAAATCACAAATGTTTATATGCTCTGCTTCCCCATTATATCCTTGACATGAAAATAAATTGCATTTGCCAATAATCACCAGCTCTTCTGGACAGTTCTAGCATTTATTTTGGTCTATAAGCAAAAACTGCTGACAACAAAAAATTGTTTTGCATCTGAAAGGAAGCCTCTGTGTGTGTGTGTGTGTGTGTGTGTGTGTGTGTTTTATGTGTTTTAACCTGGGATTTATTTATGTCAATAAAAGAAGGAAGTATTCTGTAAGAATAAGGCTAATGTCCAAGGCCAAATTTGAAGCTTTAGACCATGGCTGTCAAACTCTTGGCCCGTGGCCGGATGTTTCATGCACTGACCATGCCCACACCCGGTTTAGCAAAGTGGGAAAAAGTTCCGATATATCATGTGACATCACCGTGATGCCGTGAGTTTGACACCCCTGCTACATTTGAAACAAGGACTGCAACTTAATATCTTGCAGAAGCAGGATTTGTGATTATGGGGGTCTGTTTCCCAGTGATTTGTATGGGAATAGACTTCATTTTTCTCCCTTGATGGCTGATTGCATCCCTTCTACAGATTTGTCTCGCCTTCATATAATCTGCGCTGAAATTATTCATTGTACAGGTTATTGATGAGAGCACCTTAGGTCCTCTAAAGCTTTGTTATGAGTCTGCTTGATTTCAAACTACTTCAGCCATGATTGGCCCTTGATTTTATAAAACAATCTTGAGAAACAGATTATTCTAGATTTCTAATAATATAGCCACAAAATACCACAGGAGGCAGAGAGTTAGTTTAGTGACACAGAATGTTCATGTAGCTCAAACATATACATGTCATGTTCCAGAACAACTTTAGAACATATGGGAGGATCTTCAGCTACTTAGCTATGTATATCTTAAGTTTTTCAAGGAGACTACACATGTGCTTCTCTAAATCCACATGGCTATGGCTCTTGTTCATCTGTATACCTGGCAAATCTAGTTCTGATGCTGTATTTGTGAATCCACCCTTAAGTACTGTTGACTTATTGTACTCTTATAACGTTAATCTAAATAATGCAACAAGTTGAAGACGAGGTAACAGGTCCTCCATTGGCCATTGGTGCTGCACAAAGAAAAAAAGCAATGGTTAGCTGAGGTCTTTAGTGGGTGTCAATTTAAGAATTGGCTATGAAGAACCATCTACTTAATGTTTGCATGCCAGGCACTGTTTTAATTGCAGGATCGTCATCAGATGAAAAAGAAGCGATCTGAACTGAGTGGGGAAAGACAAAATTGATTGGATTTTGGAATTGCGATATAAGAACAATTTTATTGACAGAAAAGAGATAAATTTATAAAATTGGTATTGATGAGGATGAATGAAATGGTATGGCTAAGCTTGTACTTTAGAGAAATTGCTAGCTGTGTTTTAAACCTAATTTCTGCTATTGGTTTTGTTCTTATTGCTTTATTCTTTAAACAAGGAAAAAAATAAGCATTAAAAAAAGGAAATGCCAAAAGTAATACAAAATTAAGTTTTATGTAACAATTTCAATAAAGGATAAAAGATGTCCAATAAAGGACGACCATGTTTCATTGAAATTTATCTCTACTTGAACTATGTATATAAGCAACTTGTTTATAAATTGTAAGTCACATTATGTCCTCAATCCATTGAGCAATTGAGGCCATAAACTAGTCTTTCCAATGTGAAAGGAACCTCTCCTCTTGACTTAGGTAAAGGCAAAGGTTCCCCTTGGACATACTTATGTGCTAGTCCACTTATGGCTAGCCCTCTTTTGGCTCATGTGCTTTGCACACGACTCCAGTGTGCATGCATGCACGATCAGCACTCCCCCCCCCCCATTTTTGGCTTGCTTTTTTTTACTCTCCCCAGCTCCAGAGGCTTTATAGCCTCCCCCCGCCTGGAGGCCCTCCAGACGCTTCAAGAGCTTCCCTGAAGTGACTTCTGGTTTGCTTGTAGTGTTGTTTTTTCCTCTCCAGGGCCTTTAGGAAAACTGGCCCTACGAGCAAACCGGAAGTCTGTCCCCGAACTTGCGGTTTGCTCGCAGGGCCGGTTTTTTTGTGCTCCAGAGGCTTCAAGAATATTAGAGATCCTGAGGCTTTTTTTCCTCCTAACCTGGAGCATCTGTTTTTTGGTCCTTCTTCTGTTCTTCCTGCAAGGCTGCCATCTTTGCTTCAGACACGTCAGCCAGAGCTTTCCACTCTTTGCGGTTGTTGAGCAGCCTTTCATACATTGGCAGAATTTCAGGGTGGAACTCTGAAAATTCCTACATGAGCAAACAATAGGAAGAAGGATCCCAAATGAATGGTTTCCAAGTCCTTTGGCAAAGACTTGAGCCTCCTGAGGTGTTTGCAGTCTTTACCAGTAGCTCTAATATCTCTTTGTTATAGGTAGTCTTCAATTTACGACCACAAGTGAGCCCAACATTTCTGTTGCTAAGCAAGACAGTTGTTGAATGAGTTTTGATCCATTTTACGGCTTTTCTTGCCACAGTTGCTAAATGAAACACTGCAGTTATTAAGTTAGTAACACGCCTATTAAGTGAATCTGGTTTCTACATTGTGTTTACTGCAGTGGTGGGATTCAAAAAGTTTTACTACCAGTTCTGTGGGCGTGGCTTGGTGGGCATGGCATGATTTGGTGGGCGTGGCTTGATGGGCATGGTAGGAGAAGGTTACTGCAAAATCCCCATTTCCTCCCAATCAGCTGGAATTCAGAAGGCAGAGAATAGATGGGCTGGGGCCAGTCAGAGGTGGTATTTACTGGCTCTCCGAACTACTCAAAATTTCCGCTACTGGTTCTCCAGAACTAGTTAGAACCTGCTGAATACCACCTCTGGTTTGCTGGCCAGAAAGTCGCAAAAGGGGATCACATGACCCAGTTACAGTGCAACCATCATAAACACATGCCAGTTGACAAGCGTCCAAATTTTGTCACATGACTATGGACATGGCTGTGGGGCAACAATTTTAAGTGGGAAAAATGGTTATAAGTCTCTTTTTTTCAGTCCTGAAAAATTTCATGGTCATTTAAACAAGCCCTTTCTTTTTTATTATTATTTTATATAAATCCTTTTTTGGAAAAAAAGTTTTTATTTTTATTTCTCATATATACATTCACAAATATACATCTCATAACTATTATTAATAATACAAGGCCTTTCTTATAAGCTGCATTAAGCATCAGTTACACAGCAAAGATCTATCCAAGGTCAAAAGCATAATTTGCTTCAAGAAAAGACAAGGCTATTTTTAAGAAGTAAAACCTTCAACTGGAAATACAACAGACATTTTTTCTGTTTTGCTTGAGGATTTGCTTTTTTAACCTAACCTACCGTATTTTTTGGACTATAAGATGCACCATGATTTTGAAGAGGTAAATTTTTTAAAAAAAGGTTTTGCCCTCCCTGGCCTACAGGAGCACTCTGCAGGTTTGTTTTTCCAAAAAACAGAGCGTGCAGAGAGTTTAAAGGCCTGCAGAGTGTTCCTGGGGGCTTGGGAGGGCAAAAACACACCCATTTTTGTGAAAAACGGGCCTGTTTTCACTCATTTTTGCCCTCCCTGGCTGTCAGGAGCACTCTATAGGCTCCCAAACCCTCTGCACCATTGGTGGGTTCCTACTGGTTTGGACTGGTTCGGCCAAACCGGTAGTAGCTTGGTGGCCTGCATCGCTGGAACTGGCAGTGACTCAGGC